AGCCCGCCCTGCAGCCCCTGGCCCTGTCCAAGCCCTTGCCCTGTCCAGCCCCTGCCCTGTCCAGGCCAGCCCCTGCCCTGTCCAGCCTGCTCTTGTCCAGCCCTGCCTGTCCGCCCTCTGCCCTGTCCAGCCCCTGCCTGCAGCCCTGCCTGTCCAGCCTGCCCTGTCAGCCTGGCCTGTAGCCCTGGCTTGTCAGCCCTGGCCCTGTCCAGCCCCTGCCCTGTCAAGCCCTGCCTGTCAGCCCTGCCCTGTCTAGCCTGCCTTCCAGCCCTGCCCTGTCCAGCCCCTGCCCTGTCCAGCCCTTGCCCTGTCCAGCCCCTGCCCTGTTCAGCCCCTGCCCTGTAGCCTCTGCCCTGTCCAGCCCCTGGCCTGTTCAGCCCCTGCCCTGTCCAGCCCTGCCCTGCAGCCCCTGCCCTGTCCAGCCCCTGCCCTGTCCAACCCCTGCCCTGTCCAGCCCCTGCCCTGTCCAGCCCCTGCCTGTCCACACACACTGGTTTGCCAGTGTGAGTCCAGAGAGCAGCGGGGAGGGAGGGGTGCAGACTGCTCTCCGGGGCTCAGGGCCGGCCTTTCCGGAAAGTTCTCTGGCCACACCAGCTCCCACCAGCCACCCCTCTGCGGTTGCTCCTCCGTGTGTCCCTCCTCTTGCTCAGGTGGCCCTGCCGTCCTGGTGGGTCCCAGGCTCTGTGTGCGTTCCCTCTTCCTGTGGCCCCTGGCTTCCCTCCGCTCTGCTCAGTGTCTCCCTCCTTTTCTGATCTTCCTGCCCCTCCTCTCCGGCCCTGCGGACTCAGGTCGGGGGGCGGCAGGGGGGAGCCGTGGTGGTGCCAGGGGGAGGGGGCTGTTCCTGCCTGCTGCCCCCTCCTCCCTGAGACCACCTGCACCAAGGGGCCCGCACAGGCCCTGAGGATGAGCCCCGTGCCCCGCGCTCACCTGCTGGCTTACCTGGATGGGGTGATTGGGGTGAGGTCTTTCCCCATGGTCTGGATCACTCTTCTCCCCCAGACCCAGAGACCCGTGCAGATGCCAACGCCTCCGTAAAACAGCAGCCAGACGGGGGTGGCTGCCTCCTGCATCACCGCACCTTGTTCGTAAATCAGCCACAGGGCGACCAGGGGACCGATAGCATTACTGGGGAAAGACAAGACGAAGGATGATACACGCAGTGGGCGCCGTGCACAGTCCTGGCATGCCTCGTTCTGGCGTGCTGCGCCTCGCTGCGCTTTGCGGATCCCAGGGATGTTTTTTTTTTTTGCAAACTGAAATGCTCGTGGCCACGCTGAGTCCAGCAAGTCTCCCAGCACCGCCCTCCCAACAGCGTGTGCTCACTTCACGTCTCTGCGCACGTAACTCCCACAGCGTGCCGGACGTCTCCATCGTCATTAGGTCTGCTACGGCGATCTGCGACCAGCGATCCCTGACGTGGCGACTGTAGCTGTTCCGGGGCGCCGTGGGCTGCACCCGCGTAACACCACGTGTGTGCGCTCTGGCCGCCCCACCAGGAAGGCCACTGCGCCACCTCTCCCTCTCCCCTGGCACCTCTGTTCCCCGAGACACGCCGACACTGAAATCACGACAGTCAATAACCCTGAAATGGCCCTCTAAGTGCTCAAGCGAAAGGAAGAGCTGCACCTCTTTCACTTTACTTTTTAATTTTTATTTGAGACAGGATTTCTGCCTCCTGGGCTAGGGTGCAGTGGCACAACCATAGCTCACAGCAGCAGCCTCACACTCCTGGGCACAAGTGACCCTCCTGCCTCAGCCTCCTGAGTAGCTGGGACCGCAGGCACACAACCACGCCTAGCTAGTTTTATTTATTTATTTATTTATTTTTTTAAGAGACAGGGTCTTGCTATGTTGCCCGGGCTGGTCTTGAACTCCTAGCCTCAAGTGATCCTCCCGCCTCGGCCTCCCGAGTTGCTGGGACTGCAGGTGTGAGCTGCTCATGTCTGGCTCATGTCTACCACTTCAAATGAAAAGCTAGCAATGGTCAAGCTCGGTGAGGAAGGAATGTGAAAAAGCCGAGACGGGCCAAAAGCTCAGCCTCTTGTCCCGAACAGTTAGGCAAGTTGTGAACGCAAAGGGAAGGTCCCTTGAAGAGACCCCACTGAACGTACGCACGGCAAGAAAGTGACACAGCCTTACTGCTGAGGGAGAAAGTTTGAGTGGTCTGGGTAGAGGCTCAAACGGCCCACGACATTCCCTTAAGTGCAGGCCAAACCCAGAAAGAGGTTCAAGTGATCCTCCTGCCTCAGCCTCCCGAGTAGCTGGGACTACAGGCATGCGCCACCATGCCCGGCTAATTTTTTTGTCCTATTTGATATTAGTTGGCCATTAAGTTTCTCTCTAGTATAGTAGAGCGGGTCTCCTGCTTGATCCAGGCTGGTTTTAACTCTGACCGTCGAGTGATGCCGCCTGCCTCAAGGCCGCCAGGTAGTGCTGGGATGCTAGCGCGTGAGCCACCGCGCCCCGCTGTTTGTGGTTTTGGAAGACGCTGTTTTAGTAACAAAAGTAGAAATTTTTGAACAAATAGAAAAAAGAGTTAAGGGTGCACACGTGTCAGCTTCCAGGTTATTGCTACAATGTACTGCAGTCAAAGATCGCGCGCCTGTAGAGAACATTCTTCTGAGCGTTCGTGGCGCTCTCGACACATGTCCTTGCTGATCTCGCCTTCCCCATTCCAGCCCTGAGCGCACCGGACGCGCCAGCGCACGTCCAACTCCTGCCCTGTGCCTCGCCGCTAGGCCTAGCTTCGGGTTACCGCGGCCCGCTCGCGCCTTTTTTGGGCCTCATCGGCCGCCGCCTTGCTGTGTTGTCCCGTGTATGGTTGTTTGTGCGCTTGTGTGTTCTGCCCTCTGCCGACCCCAGTTGGCCGCCCTCCCTGAGAAATGGCAACTGTGTTCTCCGGAGCGCTGGGGCCGGAGGTGGGCTGGACCCCCGCTTGACTGTCTCGTTGTTCCCTGCGACTGCCACATGACGGGTCGGCGTCGGTGTCGCCTGCCTCGTCCTTGGTCCTGCCTTCCCCACTGGACTGCCTTGCCGCCCCCCACTCGACCCTGGCTTGCTCTCGTAGCGCCGCTTCCACGCAAGGCCGACAGCCCACGCAGTCCGCCACCTGCCGTGTCGGCGCACAAGAAAAAACCCCGCGGCTGCTTCTGGCCACCTTCGGGCCGTCGGTCGGCAAGATGCCCTTCTGGTGGTTGTCCGCCACGCCCGTGCGCGTGGCAGCAGGGCACGGCCTTGCTGCACCCGGCCGTCACGCTCTGGCCCGCCGTGCCTCCCTGTTCTTCCTTGAGCACACCGGGCACCCCTGGCCTCGGGCACCGGCACTGTGTGGTGCCTCCTGCCGTGCCGTGGGGCCCTGTCCCTCTGCCGGACCACCTTGCTTGCCCTTCCCTGAGGTGGTGCGATCTGTAATCACTGCTGCACACCGAGGCTCGCGCGCGGCCGCACCGTTTGCCGCTTCAGTCTGCCCTCTGACATTTGTCGGCGTCCGGCCACGACCCGTGTGACTCACCGGCCTGTGCGTGTCTCCCGCCCCCTCCTGCCTGGGCGGGGTGCTTCCTCCGCTCGCTGGTGTCCCCCAGCCCGGCACCCGGCACCCCCGGCAGGCCCCGCGTTGAGTGAACGGATGCACCCACCTCACATCGTTGCCTCCGTGAGCAAAGGACCCGAAGCAGGCGGTGAGGACCTGCAGGAAGTGGAACAGGAGGTGGACCTCGGCCGTGTCCTTCTCCTCCTTCTCTTCCTCTGCAGGGTCCTCGTGCGGCCGGCCGGGGTCCGCCGGCTCCGCCGCCAGCCTCATTTCCACGCCGCCCTCCTCGGCCTCTATCTCGGCCTCGGCCACGGCGTTGCAGTAGCTGGAGTAGCTATCGTAGCGCAGCCTCTTCTTGGAGTAGGACACGGCGTCCCCCACCAGCTTCTCGCTGTCCTCGGGCGCGGCCGGGTCCGCGGCCCTGAAGGCGGCATGCACCGGCATCCCGCAGATGGCGGCCGTGTAGCAGGTGTAGCTGTTGTTGCGGCGCAGGAGCCTGTAGGCGCGTCCGGCGCGCGGCTTGTCTCGGGCCTGTCCCCCGTGGTCCTGCTGCGCAGGTCTTTGTAGCAGCCGGAGTCTGGTGCACCGGTTGTCGGGTACACTGTGGCGTCCCCTCGCGTGGCACCTCGAGCGAAGGGTGCGTTGGACGACGGGGGACTTCATCAGAGCCAGTGGGGTCATGGAGACGCCTTCTGGGAACGCGTTAAAGGAGGAGAAAGGTCCTGGGCGCGCGGCGGTGCTCACGCCTGCCATCCGGCTCTGGGAGGCGAGGCGGGAGGATCGCTCGCAGAGTGTCAGCGAGTTTGAGATCACCTGAGCAAGAGCGAGACGCCGTCTTACTATAAATAGGACAAGAAGTCTTAATTGGCCACATCAATTATATATAGAAAAAATTAGCGGGCACCTTTGTGTGTGCAGCCTGTCAGTCCCAGGCTACTCGTCCTGAGGCTGAGGGCAGAGGATTGCTTGTGAGGCACAGGCGAGTTCCGCATTTTGAGGTTGCTGTGAGCGATGGCTGACACCAGCGGCCATCACTCTAGCCTGAGCAACAAAGCGAGACTCTGTGCTCAAAACAAACAACAACAAAAAACAAAGGGTCTCATGTTCCAGCCTTTTGCATACAAACCGTGTCTGGAAGGAAATGCTTTCTTGCCACTTCCTGGGGTTTCTTGTTCAGGAAAGGGTTGGATCATGAATGATTTTAATTTTTTCCCCCAAATACGTCATTTTCTGAAATTGGCACCAAGGGCAGGTGATGTGGTTAAAAAAACGAAACAAAAGAAACTTGATATTACAGAACACGTTCTTGCATTTGGGAAAATAAGTGAAAGAGAAAATAAATAGTATAAAGTGAAAATTTTAAATGTATATAAAAAGAAAAAAAAATCAAAAGAAACTTGGAAACATACAACAAAGGGATAAAACTAATAACATGGTATTTTTCTAAAAAGATGTCAGGTTCTGCTAAAAAAGTGTTTTCCAGAAATGACTACCAGTGCTCTTTCCTCTCTCAGCACCAGGGAAGGGGAGAATCCTTGTAAGGCAGTGGTCGCCAACCTTTTTGGCACCCGGGGACCGTTTTCATGTAAGACAATCTTTCCACGAACCAGGATGGTTTCGGGATGATTCAAGCACATTACACTTATTGTGTGTACTTTATTTCTCTTATCATTACACTGTAATATATAAGGAAATAATCACACAACTCACCCTAGATTGGGGACCCCTGTTACAAGAAACTTATTTTAGAAAAGCCTCATATTTGAGACAAAACTCACTTCATGTGAGACAGATATCCTCGGTGCTTAAAAGGTCAATCTTGTCTGTCAAAGGGCCGTATGTGTCAGAGCCGGGGAGCAAGATTAATTTGCTTTCTTGGGGCCGTGTCCGAGACCCACACCTCTCTGGCAGGCAGGTGCCAGTGCCCCGCCTCGCTGAGGGGTGGGAGCTGCCCAGGCAGGCTTGGGTGACGTGTCCGCAAATGTTATGAGGCTAAAGAACAACCCCAGGACGGTCTGGATGTTTCCTAAGGTTTCTGGGACTCTACGGGAGGTCCATCTCCTTGGTTACAATTTTAGCTTTCTCTTCCCACCTTCTGTGAGGAGAGGCATCCCTGGTACATCGGGGAGACCAGCACTCACAGGCCGGCCACGCCTGCAGCTGCAGGGAGGGCTGCTCGTGGGCGCACACAGTGGGTGGCCCCTGGCACCTCTGAGGAGACCACAGGGGACGAGAGCAAGCCTGCCCTGCTGGCTGCAGCTGGGCTCCTGCTCAGCCTCTTGGCCTCTGGGTTTTCTCAAAATGTAAAAGGGGTGGGGGACACTTCTGTGCATTAAAACCAGATTTTGCACCCCCAGGCAGGGCTGGTTCTCCCCTGAGGAACTTCTCTGGGCCACCACAGAACCCCGGCTGGCTGTCCAGGTGTCCTTACCGTACGCGGCCCGGGGGTGGATCCCTGCAGATGCCGCTTCCGAGGGCCCGGCCGCCTCCCCGGCTACCCCGGTGAGGGGGATCACGCTGTCGTCCTGCGTCTTGGCTCCCGGCAGCTCTTTAAACACTGGCGACTCCGCCTCCTGGCCTTTACTGAGGGTTTCTTCAGAGACTCGCGACAAAGCACCTTCTTTTTGTAATTTACCTAAGGAAAATACAGTCAGAACTGAGAATGTTGGAGGAGAACCCTTCTTATTGGAAAATGAATATACATATATTTAAACTTTGGTACTTATTTTGGACATACATACAACATGTTAAGAGCTAGATAGAGGGAAAAAAAGTGGAGAAAGTTCAATCCGGAAAACCCTAGCCAAAAAATCCGGCCACTGAGGGAAAGATGGAAGTTTAGGGCCCAAGGAAGCACATCCAAAAACAACAAAAAAGGAGGGTTAGATTTTATGGCCAAGGTTCCTTCCAGGGCTAATGTTCTGAGAATCTACAACCACCTAGATTGGCCTTCTATTTTCTTAAGCTAACCTTGGAATCATGGAAATGTTTATTCTTTTTATCTTTGTAGATACTGTTACAACATGCTTGGTTTTCTTTTCTTTTCTTCTTTTTTTTTTTTATGAGACAGAGTCTCACTTTGTTGCCCCGGCTAGAGTGAGTGCCGTGGCATCAGCCTAGCTCACAGCAACCTCAATCTCCTGGGCTCAAGCAATCCTCCTGTCTCAGCCTCCCGAGTAGCTGGGACTACAGGCATGCGCCACCATGCCCGGCTAATTTTTTCTATATATATTAGTTGGCCAATTAATTTCTTTCTATTTATAGTAGAGACGGGGTCTCTCTCTTGCTCAGGCTGGTTTCGAACTCCTGACTTGGAGCGATCCCCCGCTCGGCCTCCCAGAGAGCTAGGATGACAGGCGTGAGCCACTGCGCCCTGCCACATGCTTGGTTTTCTTCTGGTCAATAAATTCTTGGTCTCGTATTTTTTTCAGGTTACCAAATTTTAGGAAACAAGTAAAGTCTCTTCTTCAAAAAGGAACAGGGAGATCCTACTTACTTTTAAAAACCCTTTACTTTAAAAAGAATCAAGGGATTTTGAAAAAGCTGTTTTAAAGCTCAATGGTATATTCCTTTTAATCGAATCTAATTCAATTGTCTTTCTGCTTGCAGATTGTCCTGGGCAAACTGCTGAACTCTCACCTGCAGAGCTCAGATGGAAATAAACTTCTCGTTCCCCTGCAGATGCTCGCATATAGGCTCCATCTCTATCATCTATCTCTGTATCTCCCTAGATGGTCAAATGTAGAGATTTTTAAAACTAAATTTGTTATACACTACAGGGAATGCAAAAAAAAAAAAAAAGTACATAAAGATCTCTGACCTCAAGGTGCTTATAATCAATGAGAGAAGATTAATATTTATAAAGATGATAATAATGGCAAAAATTAACATTTACATGAGAGAAGTATATTATTATTTTTTTCATTTTATTAACGAGTTAACTGAGGCACAGAGAGGTTAAGTCATTAGCTCAAGGCTACACAGGTGACATGGGACAGATGACACCGAGCTAATGTAAGCTTGGTTGAGAGCTAAGGTTGGCTCTGTGCTCCATGCCCTTAACCACTAATCTGTACATAAAATAATAAAACAGTAAGTACATGGAGATATCAAAATATACAGAAATACACACAGAAAACCTCCTGGCAAGCCAGCATGGGGAACGGTGTCCATTTCTGCTCTGACTTCAGAGCCTAAAGCTGGAAGGTGCAGATTGTAAGGTTCATTTGACATCAAGGTTTAGCCATTAGGAAAAGTGTTCAAAAATCAAAGCATTTAAGTGTACTGCATCACTCCCACAGGGTCAAATCAGACAAGCAGTGTGTGCAGCGTGGCTCCTCTGAGGCCAGTGGTCTGCATGACATGAGGGACATTCTCAGCGCAGAGCAGGGAGTAGCTTCACGAGAGAGGAAGCAGCTGGTCTTTAAACCGTTATGCCGTGGCTTCAACGTGGGCTTGAAGTTGTATGCATTCATGCAGGTTTTTTTTTTTTTTTTTTTTTTTTTTTGAGACAGAGTCTCGCTTTGTTGCCCAGGCTAGAGTGAGTGCCGTGGCGTCAGCCTAGCTCACAGCAACCTCAGACTCCTGGGCTCAAGTAATCCTACTTACTGCCTCAGCCTCCTGAGTAGCTGGGACTACAGGCATGCGCCACCATGCCCGGCTAATTTTTTCTACATATATTAGTTGGCCAATTAATTTCTTTCTACTTATGGTAGATACGGGGTCTCGCTCTTGCTCAGGCTGGTTTCAAACTCCTGACCTCGAGCGATCCGCCCGCCTCGGCCTCCCAGAGTGCTAGGATGACAGGCGTGAGCCACCGCGCCCGGCCCATTCATGCAGATTTTAAAAGCCATTTGTTTTACAATTTATATGCAGTAAACTTTCTGTGTACGTGTGGACAGTCCTGAGTTTCAACACGTTCGTGTAAGCACAGCACGATCAGGGTACAGAAGAGTCCCACCGTCTCCCCAAATCCACCTGTGCCATACTCTGCCTAGTCCTGACCTTGGAAACCACTGACCTGGTTTCTGTCCCTGTAGTTCTGCCTTTTTTTGGGGGGGAAAGTCCTATAAGTAATGAAGCGTGCTGGTTTTCGAGGCTGGCTCCTTACTCAACATAACTCATCCGTGTTGTTGCACGCACCAGTAGTTTGTGCCCTTTCGTGGCCCAGTTGCGTGCTGGTGTATGAACGCACCACGGTTTATTCATTCTGGGGACAAGCTAGGTTGTTTCCAGTTTTTGGCGATTGCTAATAAAGGTGCTATAAACATTCATGTACGGATTTTTGTGTGAGTTTAAGCTTCCGTTTTCCTAGGGAAATATTTAGGCGCGGTTAACAGTAAATTTATGGAAAGTGTATATTTAACCATACAGGAAACTGCCACACTGTTTCCCTGTACCGCCTGGCAATCCCACCAGCGACACATCAGAGTTCCAGCTGCTCTTCATCCTTGTCAACATTTAATACTGTCAGTTTTTCTAAAAGCCATTCAAATAGATGTATAGTAATATTTCATTGTGATTTTAATTCGCACTTCCCTGATGATTAATAATGTTGAACACTTTTTCATGGACTTCTTTGCCATTCAGGTATCTTCTTTGGTGAAGTGTCTATTAAAATATTTTGCTCATGTTTTAACTGAGGTGTTTGCTTTCTCACATTTCTTCATCGATTCTGAATACAAGTCCTTTGCCAGACACCCGGGATTTGCAAACGCTTCCTCCCAGTCTGTAGCTTGTCTTTTCGTTCTCTTAATAGTGTTCACAGAGCAATCGCTCTTCATTTTGATGAAGCACAATTTATCGGATTTCTTTTACAGATGATTTTGGTGTCACATCTAAAAATTCTTTGTTTAATCCAAGGTCACAAAGGCTTTCCCTTATTTTTTTTTTCCCTTAAAAAGTCTGTTCTTTTTATTTTACATTTAACAGATCTATGATGAATTTTGAGTTGATTTTTTAAAATAAGGTATAAGGTTTAGGTTAAGGTTCTTTTTCTGGCATATGGGCACCCAAGTGTCCCAGCACTATTTGTCTAAAAGACTGTCCTTTCCCCACCCAACCGCCCTTACCCCCTCGTCAGAGCTCTATTCGCCACGTTCGTGCGGGTCTACTTCCGGACCCCGTTCTGTTCCGTTACCTGCCATACTGCCGGGTGGCTTCCCAGTAGGTCTTAAAGCCAGGTACTCTGAGTCCTCCAACTTTATTCTTCCTTTTCAAAATTGTTTTGGTTTCCTACATTCATTTTAACAATGGCTTGTGTAAATCTACGAAATACCCTGCTAGAATTTTTATTTAAATCGTGCTAAGTCTACATAAATCAACTTGAGAAGAACCGACAACTTGACTCTATTGAGTCTTCCAATTCACGAATGCGGTATGTCTCATTTATTTTGATCTTGTTTGAAACATGGATTTTCAACTCAGATAGACCCATATTAAAACATGAGGCGCATTCTTGAAGGCAAATGAAAACATTTCCTTTTTTTTTTTCTTTTTTTTTGAGAGCTCTTTGAAAGTATGTGGTTCGAAGGGTTGGAATTCAATTATGTTGCTGGTCGGAGGAAAACAGCCCTGGCTGATTTTAAAACCATTTAGTTTTTTTTTTTTAAAATAAAAACTGTTTTAATTGAGGTATAATGCACACAATTGTTGCAGCAACGTGTACAGCTAGCATCACAGCTCTTGTTACAGCTCTTACTTGTTTGACCTGGGAAAGAACCGAGCGGCACACGGGGAGTCGGAGAACAGCCTTTATATTCTTCCACAGCAGGCTCAGCACACCTAGTGTTACAGCTCTCTTCCTGTCTTCCGATCTTCTCACCCTTCTGCCCGCTTTTTATACCCTTGGTAGGGCTCAAAAAGCGTCCAATCAACTACAAGCTTTAACATCCAATCAGCATCAAGCTTTAACATCCAATCAAAAACAGTGGGATTCAAAAATTACCCAATCAGGATCACGCAAGCAGCGTGGCCAGAAACAGCAGCACGTGGGCCTGGGGGCATTCCCTCACGCGGGTTCCCAGCGGCTCTCTGCCCCGGGGCCGGCCCCAGCAGCGCGCCCTCCAACTGGCCACGCGCAGCGCTGGCCCGCGGAGATCCGGAGCTACAGGGAGGCGGCGAGCGGCCGCGTCCCGGCACCCGACATTTTCCACATCACGATAAAATGCACACATCCTAACCGTACAGGTGGATGACCAGCGAGTACGCCCGGAAGTCCCTCCCCAGGAGCAGGAAGACATGGCTCTGCCCCCTGCTGTCCCCCCACCCCGCCCCTGCCTGCCCGTCCCAGGCAACCAGGGGTCTCTCACTATAGAGCCATCTTCCCTGTTCTCAAATTTTATGGAAAATTCCATAAAACATTTAATGGAGAATTTAGGGAAACGTTATAAAAATGGAATCCTACAGTGTAGCCCTCTTCTGTGTCTGCTTCTCCTGTCTGACACAACGGCTGTGAAATTCACTGTTGTCGTGTTTCCCAGTGGTTCACCCCGTTGCTGAGTGGTCTTCTGTTGTACGAATTTACCACGGTTTGGTTATTCTGTTCACAGACACTTGGGGTGTTTCCAGGTTTTGGCTGTTATGACTAAAAGATTCGCACACAAGTCTTTTTAGGAACATACGGTTCCATTTCTCTCGGACAAACACCTAGGAGTGAAGTGACTGAGCCGCACGGTGACTACGTATGGCTGACTTGGTAAAGAAAGCACTAAACCAATTCCCAAAGTGGTTCCACCATTTACATTTCAGCATAAATGCATGAGAGTCCTACTTATTTTTCTCCACCAACAGTTGGAATCACTAGTCTTTTTACTTTTAGCCATTATCGTGGGTGTGATACGATGTCTTACTGTGGTGCTAATTTGCATTTCCCTGAAGGCCAGTGTTTTTACCAGGCTGGGAGAACTTGACCGCACACACACACAGTTCACTGGCAGTTACCCAGGGTAACTGGGACCCCACTGCTCGTCTGGGCCACAAGTTACCAAGAAAAGGCCTGAGCCAGGAAGCAACCGGAAGCCTGCAGGCAGAGGGCTGGGCGTGCGTCTCAGCCCACGTTCCAGGCTCGGCCGCACTCCGCCTGTCCCACCAGTGAAGACAGCTCTGCAGCACTTGTGAAGTCTCCCAGATCAGCAGCATTTTTGTAAGTCATAAGAACGAAACAGCCCGTACCTGCTATTTTCCTCCGCATCCACGGACACACGAAGAGCCACACGAAACAGGCGAACAGGAGAGCGACGCCGAAGGAAATGAGCACGATGGCCCACGCCGGCAGGACCAGGCCCAGCACTGGAGGGAGAAACAAACAGTGGCCTTGTCGCTGGGCTCCTTCCGAGAGGCCAGGCCCCAGAGCCGTGGGTTTCCCATCCCCAAATCTGGAACGAATCACCTGGATTTTGTATTTAATACAATTCTCAACCAAAAAAAAAAAAACAAACAAACAAAACAAAAACACACAAACGGGCCATGCCTTTTGGGGTAGAAAGCTCTGTGTTTAAGACATACCATGTTGGCCGGGCATGGTGGCTAACACCTGTGATCCTAGCACTCTGGGAGGCCGAGGCGGGCGGATCGCTCCAGGTCAGGAGTTCGAAACCAGCCTGAGCAAGAACGAGACCCCATCTCTACTATAAATAGAAAGAAATTAATTGGCCAACTAATATGTATAGAAAAAAAAAATTAGCCGGGCATGGTGGCGCATGCCTGTAGTCCCAGTACTCGGGAGGCTGAGGCAGGAGGATCTTGAGCCAGGAGATTGAGGTTGCTGTGAGCTAGGCTGACGCCACGGCACTCACTCTAGCCTGGGCAACAAAGAGAGACTCTGTCTCAAAAAAAAAAAAAAAAAAAGACATACCATGTCTTAAGAATATGTGCTTAAACTGGTTAGTAAGCTAATTATTAAGATTTGGCTAACTGAGCACGAACATCATGTTAAGCTGAGATTAAAGCCATTGACACATCAACATCTAAATAGCCACTGCCCAGCGTGGGGACTGCTCCCCTCTGGCTCCTCAGCAGCTAGCGGCCTGGCCGTAAAGGGACACGACACCCTCCCCCCCGCACACACAAACCGTTTTTGGAACCAGCTGAGAAATAGAAATATTTTAAGAGGACACTGGCCATTCAACTTAATTCTTCCTTGAAGCATCAGTTTATGGAATTACAACGTAGAAAAGCTTTTCATCAAAATCCAGTCTTGCACGCTAAGCAGCAATCACGTCAACCAACGAAAGGGTGGGCGTGCACACGGCTCAGGGACGTCTTCTATTCCCAGCTCTGTGACCAGCGTTGCCAGAGGCCAGGACTCCGAATCTGGCCCACCTGCTGTCACTGGCCACAACGGGCACATTCCACACAGGTTCAAAGGTGCACACTCACGCTCAGGCGTGAGCACACAGGCACGTGTACGAGAAAACCCACCACGGCATTACTTTTCACAGTAAGAATTTGCAGAACAACCAATACAGGCACCATTAGGGAGATGTGAAATAATTACAGCACAAAGTCATAAAACGGAACCGGCCCATGTGTGCTGATGGGGAAAGCAACCCCTCGTCCAGGAAGTACTCAGGCAGCTGGGGGTGCTGCACAGAGAGACCCAGTGTATGTTTAGAAAAGAAAAACACAAATTGGGAGGCATTGGCCTACCAGACTTGGAGCTGCACCATAAAGCAATGATAATTAAATCACCCTGGGACTGGCACAAGAACAGAGACTCATAGATCTCTGGAACAGGACTGAGAATCCAGAGATAAAACCATCTGCATATGGTAATCTAATCTTTAACAAAGCAGACAAAAACATACACTGGGGAGAAGAATCTCTTTTCAATAAATGGTGCTGGGGAAACTGGATAGCCCTGCAGAAGAAGGAAACTGGATCCCTACCTCTCACCTCTCACCTCTCACAAAAATACATTCGAGATGGATAACAGACTTAAACCTAAGGCATGGAACTTTAAGAATTCTAGAAGAAGATGTTGGGAAAACCCTTTCAGACATCGGCCTAGGCAAAGAATTTTTGAGGAAGACCCCCAAAGCACTCACTGCAGCAACAAAAATAAATGGGATCTGATCACATTAAAAAGCTTCTGCACAGCCAAGGAAACTACCATTAGAGCAAATACACAACCCACAGAACGGGAGAAAATATTTGCTCTCTACACTTCTGATAAAGGGCTGATAACAAGAATCTATCTAGAACTTACAAAAAAATCAGCAAGAAAAAAATCAAACAACCCCATCAATAAATGGGCAATGGAAATGAACAGAAATTTCTCAAAAGAATATAGAATAATGGCCAGCAAACATATTAAAAAATGCTCAACACATCTCTAATCATTAGAGAAATGCAAATCAAAACCACAATGAGATACCACCTAACCCCAGTAAGAATGGCATCTATCAAAAAAATCCCAAAACAACAAATGCTGGCGAGGATACAGAGAGACAGGAACACTCACACTGCTGGTGGGACTGCAAATTAGTGCAACCTCTGTGGAAAACAATTTGGAGACACCTCAAAGAGCTATAAGTGGAACCACCATTCTATCCAGCAGCAGCACACTATTAGGGATCTCCCCAAAAGAGCAAAAGTCATTCTATGATGAAGTCACCTGCACCCGAGTGTTTACGGCAGCACAATTCGCTACTGCAAGGACGTGGAAACAACCCAAGTGCCTGTCAATTCATGAGTGGATTATTAAAATTTGGTATCTTGTATGCAATGGAGCATTACTCAATTTTAAGAGATGACAGTGATCTAGCGCCTCTCATATTTTCTTGGATTGAGCTTGAGCCCATTATCTGAAGAGAGGTAACACAAGATCGGAAGAATGGGATCCGCTTGTACTCGCCATCAAATGGGTACTGACTGATTAACACGTTGGTGCTCACATGGTAGTGATATTCTCCAGGGATGGGGGGTTGGGGGGGGAGTAAACTCACAACTATAGGACACGTGAGCATTGTGTGGGGGGGAAGGCAGGCCTCTAACCCCCGCTAGAGAGAGGCAATGATATAAAATGCAACCAAAATGTTTGTTCCCTCACAATATCCGGAAATAAAAAAAAAAACCCCAGAAAACAAAGAGATGCCACTACATATCTTATGGACATTAAAAGGAAGATGAAGGGACACTATCAATGACTCTAACACTACAAATCTGATAACCTAGATGAAACTGACACATTCCTTGAAGCAAAATCTGTCAGAATTCGCACAAGAAGAACTGAACTATCTGAATAGGCTTGTATCTATTTTTTTTTTAAAAAAAATAGAATCAATAATTAATAACCTTTACAAACAAACAGTATCAGGCCCACATGGATTTGCTGGCGAATTCTATCAAACCTTTAAAAAGGATATTACAGCAATTCTCTATCATCTCTTTTAGAAGACAGAAGCAGAGGGAATATTTCCTAAAATTCTGTGAAGCCAGTATCACCCTCATGCCAAAACCAAAGGCATTATAAGAGAAGAAAACTACAGACTGACATCTCATATGAACAAAGATGCAAAAATCCCTGTGAAAATCTTAGCAAATGAAATTAACAACATATAAAGAGAATTATGCACTCTGATCTAGTGGGATCTATCTCAGGTATGCAGGGCTGGTTAAATATTTAAAAATCAATTAATATAATCCATTATCTCAATAGGCTAATTAAGAAAAATCACATGATTATTTCGATTGATGAAGAAAAAAGCATTTGACAAAATACAAAGCTCATTCATAATAAAAATCCTGGGTAAACTAGGAATAGTGGTGAACTTTCTGAACTTGATAAAGGATACCTACAAAAAAACCCCTATAGCTAAAAATACAGTGGCAAGAAACTAAAATCACATAGGTAATAATAAAACATAGTAAAATGATTGCAAAAAAAAAAGAAAAGAAAACACCCTGACTCCCACACTACTGCCATATATGTGAACATATAGAAAAGTTCTGGAAAGATACAATGGTTTCCAATCTCTTTGCGGAGAGAAGGGAATTCGGAATGGTATAGTTAACTTCTAAAATACACAATAAGAATGCCACTTTTCTAAATTATTAATAATTTCTGGCCGGGTGCGGTGGCTCATGCCTGTAATCCTAGCACTCTGGGAGGCCAAGACGGGAGAATTGCTCGAGGTCAGGAGTTCGAAACCAGCCTGAGCAAGAGTGAGACCCCATCTCTACTATAAATAGAAAGAAATTAATTGGCCAACTAATATATATATATATAAAAAAATGAGCCGGGCATGGTGGCACATGCCTGTAGTCCCAGCTACTCGGGAGGCTGAGGCAGGAGGATCGCTTGAGCCCAGGAGCTTGAGGTTGCTGTGAGCTAGGCTGACGCCACGGCACTCACTCTAGCCTGGGCAACAGAGTGAGACTCTGTCTCAAAAAAAAAACAAAAACCCAAAAAACAATTTCTTTTAATTTAAAGAAGCAAACAATCTAAAACTTTGTTCTTAGATTAAATAAAGGTTTAATGATGCAGGCTTAGCTAAATTGTTAACCATTTTATACACACAAACCAGCTCAAAGTTACACAGTTAAGGCACTAGTAAACATTTGGATAGGTGTGAGAGGTTAAAGCATAGGTAGCTAATACTATAGTCAGAGTCAGAATTAACGTATAGTCAGAGTCAGAATTAACGTATGTAAATATGAAACACAAGAGCCCAGCATCACCTAGCTCAGTTACAGCCCAGAGGTGGCCATGGGGGAGGACAGGCGCGTTGCCCCACCCTCGAACTCCGGGCTCGGCTCTGCCGTCGGAGCTGGCCTGGGCCTGCCTCTCAGCTGCACCCTCTGGGCCTGCACTGAAGCCGGGAGCTGCCCGAGCCACCCCGGCTGCTCTCGGGGCGCCTGTGGCTCCCGGCTTCTGCAGTCTCACCGCCATGTCAGGGTTTGCACGAGTGACGGACGCTCTCCTGGAGCCGCTTCCCCCAACCTGAGCGGTCGGTGATCATTACCAGCGCCAAACGCTCGTTACCAACGCCAAACTCTCGTTACCAGCGCCAAACTCTCGTTACCAGCGCCAAACTCTCGTTACCAGCGCCAAACGCTCGTTACCAGCGCCAAACTCTCATTACCAACGCCAAACGCTCGTTACCAACGCCAAACGCTCGTTACCAGCGCCAAACTCTCATTACCAACGCCAAACTCTCTTACCAGCGCCAAACTCTCGTTACCAACACCAAACTCGTACCAATTCCAACCACTCTCGCGGCTCCAAAGCATGGTGTGTTAGGCAGGTTTCCCTGTTTCCTTTGTGGTTTTGTCGGTGATAAAATTGT